ACACTTGATTTCTACACATGGAGTCTCGTGGTCTTCTTTCCTGATTATCTAATGGAGAGGTCCTGACAGTAGGTGGGTTCACAAAAAAGTCCAGTCTGGTGGACGGTGGAGTAGATGACGATTGTAAAATAGAGGGCAGATGGAATGATGTCCCTGATGTCCCTGGAATGCCAGATTAGAACAGGAGGCAGTCCAAAGCCTCACCCCCCCTCTGTTTCTCATCGTTAGTCCGAAGTGGCACAGTCCCAAAGGGGCATAGATGAAACAGGGCAGCATTAAGAACAATGGTAGAAGGGGTAGGAGAGGAGGCAGGAGAGGAGTGGGGGGAAGAGTCCAAAAGTCCAAAGTTCGAAAATTCGGAAATGACTGGAGTGGTAGCTGGCCCGCCCTAGGGTATGGTTGTAAAAGATCTCCCTGTGGGGCAGCAGATGATGGATAATGAGTAGCAAGAGAGAGGGGGGGAGGGGGTGGGAAGGCTGTTGCAGCAGCAGCACAGGCCAACCAACCAATCATAATAGACATGGTCCAGTTGATAAAAAATCATCATCATCATCATCATCATCATCATCATCATCATCATCATCATCATCATCATCATCATCATCATCATCTGCCACTGATTCTTCAGGTGTGAGTATCTTAGATTCTATACCTTTTGTATAGTATAGTAGTGCTTTTCAGAGCATTTCCAGTCTTGCCTCTTTTATTCTGTGCAGTGCTTTTGTGCCATGCAAGCATCTTCACTATTTCTTCTTGGGATTGCAAAATTAACTGGCTGGGACATGGGGGGAATGATTATCGAAATTCCCCTTTCAGTCATCTCCAAAGAAGAAAGACATTATATATCCAGAAAATCTAGGAATAGGAATGAAGACATCTGGGCATAATTATATGTTAACAGCATGGAAGAACTTCATAGGTACCACATATGCATTTCACAATTACCAGGAAAATGAAGAGAGTTCTCGCCAATTAAGAGAAGTCATTAATGAAAAATTGAAAAAAATTCTCCATCCTAACACATTGAGAAATAAATTGGGTTTTAAATTGGAAGTAATCTGGTTGCTGAGATTCGTTTATTGTATTTATTCTATTTAAATAAATCTTATTAAAGAAGTCTCTTTAATCTTGCTTTTGATTGAAATCAGTTGCTGAACACTTGACAGTGATTATTCCAGGGAATGCGGAAGCCTCCTGGTGTTCACTTCAGAGGAAATGATACAAAACTGTATTTGTAGCATTTCCTTTAAAGTAGCAGCTAAGAACATTCATTGCCCTAGGTGCTGAAGAATTTCTCCAAATCATCAGTATCATCAGTTCATATTTTGCCTTCCACCATTCAATCCCAATTTTTAATGATTTTATAATTGCATTATTCTAGTATTTTTAATACTTATGCAAATATTTTTGAAATGTACGTCAAAAGAGTAGTCTCATTTTAAATACTTTTTAAAAAAATCCCATAATTAATAACGTTCTGAAATACTAAGATTAAATATATTGGAACAATGATGCAGAAATCACTTTCATTACTTGGTGTATTTCAAAGGATTAGAGAACCTGACGAAGATGATTTATTGTAATCTTTAAAACCAGTTCATGGATTTGTCTTTATACCCTTAGATTTTAGGATCAGTAAAATCTTACGCAAGGATTAAATGTACATGGCACCTCTTGAAAATCTAGCTTTGAAGCCACGCCGTCTCTCCAGACTATTTGATTGGAATCTTATATATAGGGAAGAACCAGAAGATCTCTGAAAGCCTAGCATAGAGGTCTCACATAGTTTAATGATGAGCTGAGTTGGGGAATCAGCCCCATCTCGTAATTCAAAATAATCTAATGTACAACCGAAAGAAGACCAAGGGAAATTGAGTCAAATATTTACTTAAAGTAGGCAAATGTAGCCTGGAAACTACTTCTACTGATAGAGCCATCTGAGACAAACTTTACCCAAAGAAGATATCCAGTAATTGAGGTATAATCACTGGCAAAGAGTTCCCACAGTATAGTCCCATCAGAGGACCACTGGAATCACCTTCCCTAATTTCTATGTAGCCTCTGGTACAGCATTCATTTTCTTCCACCTGAAAGTCCCTGAAAGGGTTTTAATTAATACTGGTATAAGTAAATTAAATGTACAAAGTTTAATAAAATAATAATAATTTAATAGAATTTCAAAAACATTTTCCTGCTAAATTGTCCAATTTTATTTTCACTGTTACAGATAAGAAAAACATATTTGCTTGGATTTGATTGTTATGTTCTTCCATATCTCCCACTCTTCAGAATAGAAGGGCATTACAAAGATCCTTTCCTGCTCTATCCAAATGAAAAAATGGGCCAAAGCTCTTGGTCCTACTTATTCTGATAGCATCACTGTATCCTTGGCCATTCCCCTGTATTATTTTGTTGAAAGCTTCATTTTTTTAAAAAATGGAAAGAATTAATTCTTTTCATTTAGCAATAGCAGTAGACTTATCCAGTGTAAAAAAATATTTCCTGCTAATATGATTGATTTATTCCAGATATCCGCCATATGTGGTCTGTTGTAGCACAGCATTGGAATCCTGCTAAATGGTATCTGTTAACATGCAAAAATATTAATGAATTAAAATACTACTTTGTTAAAGAAAATCAAATAAGCATTTGGTGCCTATTCTATAATTTAAGGTTACATATATGAGCCCACCACCTAAAAATATTGCCAACCCTTATTTATTTGATTTTACAGCCCATGAAACCTTCAGATCAAATCTTTGCCCAGACCAATTAATTTTACTCCACTTAAATCACTTAGAACACAAAGAACCATGATCACATTTTAACAGTATTATCTATAATATTTCATCAATTCTTTTAACTTCAGGTTTTCTAATATACAGTAATGGTAAGACTAAAATAAAGTTAGCCAGCTGCATTTCTACATGTACTTTAATCTCTTTTGTTTACATTTAAATTTGTTATTACAGATGTGATGACTCAGATGCTCCAACTTTGAGTAGAATTAAGCCAGGCAATTATCTATCTTCCCAAAGGAATATTTTATTTTATGTCATGGCTTTGTACTAAACCTTCAGACTACCTGCTGGAGATTTCTCATGCCTTCCATTTATTTCTTTCAAAAATAAAACAATACACAATAGCTAACATTTAAGAGCTAAAGGAAAATATTAAATTGCCTATGGAAATGGAGCTGAGTGTGTGGGAATTAGAATAATATTTGCAATCTTAAGAGAAATGAACCATGAGTAGACCTGTAGGTCAATTCGCTGTGCTTGTTCTTCCCCAAAGCTTGAATTGTATATGTTTCTGCTGATTGCAATTCTGAGGATAGTATCTGGACTTTTTAAACTGAGAAATTAGAATGTCAAGCTCATCTGGATACCATACTAAAAGCATTCCTGGAAAGATGCTTAAAACATAACCACTCCAGATATAATATTTGGTAGAGAGAGCAACTCCACGCATATTATTTTACATTTTGGGGATCAAAATATATCATTAAAGTTGATTTGCTGAATGCAAAGCTTCAGCATTCAAAGCTCCCACTCCAAAATCAGTTTTTATTTCCATTATAGAGAGAGCTCTTCTTTCACTTTTAGGAAAAGAGTCTCTTCAGTTGGGATTTCTGTTTTTGAACTGTTTGTGACCAGAAATTTTATTTGCCATATTTTAAAACCTTTGATGTGTTAGTTGTTGCTTTGGACGTTTTTGTTTTATAGTTTTTCCAACTGGGTGTGCATTCATTTCCCCTTAAAATGCATGACTCAAAACCCCTGCCGCATGTGTTCTGATTTAATTGCAAATGAAAGGGACTGGGCTTCAGCTTTATCTCATGCCATCTCATACAGAAGCCTATTTCTAAAGATTTCTCTGTGCATGCTCAGAATACAAGTAGTCTGTGACTTATGACAGTTCATTTAATGACCGTTCAAAGTTACAACGGCATTGAAAAAAGTGACTCATGTCCATTTTCCACATTTATGATTTTTGTGGCATTACTATGATCATGTGATCAAAATTGAGGGACTTGAAAACTGCTTCAGACTTATGTCCCATGGTCATGTGATTACCTTTTACAACCCTTTGACAAGCAAAATCAATGCGGAACCCAGATTCACTTCACAACCATATTACTAACATATCAACTTTTCAACCTTATGATTCTTGATGAATGTATCTTGCCCTTTTATGTACACTGAGAGCATATGCACCAAAGACAAATTCCTTGTGTGTCTAATCACACTTGGTCAATAAAGAATTCTATTCTATTCTAACTGCAAGAAATGGGGAAAAATCCACTTAATCAATGTCTTACTTAACAACAGAAATTTTGGGCTCAGTTATTGTCATAAGTCAAGGATTATCTGTATTCTTTCTCGAAAATGATTGAATAGATCCCTGGTGTGAGGGAGGGATTGCTCCTTAACGTACTAGCTTAGTATAGCCAATTAAACAAGAGTTGGTCTAATGGTTATGGCCCTGGACTAGGAGTAGGTTACTTAGTCACAGAAATTGAACAAAGACAAACCATTTCTATAAAGATAGGGTGGAAAATTAAGGTGACCAGACGTCCCGCTTTTGGCGGGACACCCCCGCTTTTTGATGCATTTTCCC